CATTTGGAAAAAAAATGATTAAAAAATATTTTTATTGCATAAACCATACCCATAATGTGTTATCTATGATTTTCAGTTTGCTTTATTTACTTAATTAATTTATTTATTTTTATAATGTTGTCTGTGTCTATGAGCTTGTTTGGTTTTTTGCTTAATCCCGTCACCTTTTTCACCCGGCCCCAAACACCCCTCCCCTCCAACAGCTGTCAGTCGGTTTTCTTGTGTGTCTATGAGTCTGCTGTTTTTCATTTTGGTTTCTTTAAATTGCAGCAAGAATTTGAAGACTAATGTAAAGCAATCTAAGGGCAGAATACTTGTAAATTTTTATGAAATTTTCCTTAATCTTTTGCCCTTTTTTCACTTGTGCCTGTTTCTATAGCTATTTTAATTATCACATTGCCTTAAGTCTATACAAAGCTTTCAATTTAGTTTTTATTTAAAAAAAATTATATTTAATGCTTATATTTTATTGGTTTTCATAGTACTGAATTACAGTAGCATGTACAAATGGCATATGTAGATTTAGAAACAAAAACAGCGTTGACTCTATAATGGTGGTTCTCAAATTTTAGCATGCATCAGAATCACCTGGTGGGCTTGTGAAAACACATATTCCTGGGCTCCATTCCCAGAGTTTCTGACTCAGTAGGTCTGGAGTGGGGCCTGAGAATTTGTATTACTTTTGTATATTTGTTTTACAAGTTCTCAAATGATGGTTGATGCAGCTGGCTCACAGACCACACTTTAAGAACCAATGCATTATAAGCATACAACCAGCCAATGGGAGAAGTGTGCAGGTGTTCTAGAGCACAGGTGTTCCACTAAGGCTGCTTTATAACAATCAGCCAATGGGAGAAGTGTGCAGGTGTTCTAGAGCACAGGTGTTCCACCAAGGCTGCTTTATAAGCATACAGTCATTCATTGGGAGAAGTGTGCAGGTGTTCCAACAGCCTTGACATTTTAACATGCTTTGGGCATCTGGGTCTCATTTTATTTTATTTATTTTTATTTTTTTATCCTCACCCGAGGACATTTTTCCATTTTTTGTTCAGATAGAGTGGAAGGGAGAGAGAGAGAGAGAGAAACATCTACATAAAAGGTTGCCACCGCATGACCAACCAGATCAGGGGACAAACAGCAACCGAGGTATACACCCTTAGTGGGAACTGAACCCGGGTCTCTCTGGACCGCAGGCTGACGCTCTAACTGCTGCGCCCAACTGGCCAGGGCTGGGTCTCATTTTAAGAGATAATAAAAAGCATGGATTGACCGGGAGTTGGTTAAGTGAAGGTCAATCAAAAGTGCTTTTTCTGTACAACTTTATTAATGCCTAATCCAACACTGGAAACTGTTTTCCAGAGCATTCTGGGAAAAGCCTAGTTTGGAGTATGTGGCTTAGATTTTAGGCCTAACCAAAGCCTCCAACCTCTTCTCATCCTGACATGGGGCCAGCATACTCAATTGTATCTCTGGGGGAAGAGGAAGTGCAAGAGGAAGTTCAAGAGAAGTTGAGTTCGAGTTTTTGACTTTTATGTACAATGACCCGTCCACTCATCATTGTGGTGCCATCAATGTCCTAAACTTGAAAGTCAGATTATCAACCCTTCTCTTTTGAGGGGATGCTAAGAAGTGGGTGGCCAGAGGTTGGACTGGCTGACACAGCAGACACCCACCTCAGGGGCTGGGAGATTTTCAAGACGGAGGGTCAGGCGCAGCATGAGGAGGCTGGAGGGGGGAGGGCCTGCTGCTGCAGCCCACCATGCTGACATGACCGGGCCATTTGCCAGGGCTTGGTATGCTTGATCTCAGTGTCCTCGGTGTCCCCAATTAGTTGTGTAATGACCCACTGGTTCTTGAAAGATGAAATATTAACTTGTAGAAAGATTTGGTGCTAGCTCAATATTTATGTTATGAGTCAACTCCAGTGACTGGTTCATGCCCCATGACATTCAGACCCTGAAACTGTGAATGCCCTGTTCCCACCGTAATGCCCTGTGTATTAGACCCACAAATGCTAGGTGCCGTTGGAACTATTTGGGGAGGTGAAGCTACAAAAGTGGTACTTGAAACGGAAACTCAATGAAGCCTAGAGCAAAAGCATAACGACAGCACAGGTTATGACCCTTGAAACAGCTTCAGCTTTTCTCTTTCCGTTACATGTTAAGTGTGTGACTATCTGCTCCGTGTGTGTTTTTTCTTTTTAAAAAATTGTACATGTGTATCTTTCATTTTCTTATTATTTATAAGTTTTTTTATATTAAAATAGTCTAAAATGTTATAGAAGGGAGAGAGAGAGAGAAACATCAGTCAATTGCCACAACCCAGGCGTGTGCCCTGACTGGGAATCCAACCCACAGCCTTTTGGTGTATGGAATGATGCTCCAACCAGCCGAGTCACCCAGCCAGGCCCACACAAGTATTTTTTATTCTGGATAGAATCACTGTAAATATACAATTCTTTTTTTTTTTTTTTTTTTATCCTCACCTGAGGACATTTTTCCATTTTTTGTTCAGGTAGAGTGGGAGGGAGAGAGAGGAACAGAGAGAGAGAGAGAAACATCGATGTGAAAGGGACACATCGAGTGGCTGCCACCCGCACGACCAACCAGGGCCGGGGACAAACTGCAACCGAGGTACGCGCCCTTAGCGGGAACCGAACCCGGGTCTCTCAGGACCGCAGGCCGACGCTCTAACAGCTGAGCCAAACCGGCCAGGGCTAAATATACAATTCTAATATTCACTTTTTTCACCAAATTTTACTTGTCTCCTGTTTACCATTGTATTAGAATTATAACGTAAGGGGACGCCTGCCCTTTCCCCCAGAGCCCGCAGAGGCGCCTGCCCCTCTCAGTGAACAGCCGCTCAGCTGCTCACACCCAGATCCCTGAGTCAGCCGCAGCTCCTATCTTCATCCCACCGCACCTCTAACCCACCTTCAACGTGACCCAGTACGTTCGTTTTCTAGGATGGCCACAGCAAAGTCCACAGACTGGGTGGCTTAGCACAACAGAAATCACTGCCTCACCGTTCGGGGGCGAAGTCTGAAATCAAGGCACCCGCAGGGCCACAACCCTCTGAAACTCAGAGGGGAGGATCCTTCCCTGCTTAGGGTGGGAGCTGTGGATTGTTGGCATTCCTCGGCTTTTAGCTGCATCTCTCCATCTCTGCCCCCACCTGGTATCTCCCTCTTCTTACAAGGCCACCAGACATATGGAAACAGAGCCCAGCCTAATGACCTCATCTTAACTTGATTATGTCTGCAAAGACCCTGTTTCCAAATCAGATCACATTCACAGGTACTGGGGGTTAGGACTTCAACGTATCTGTGCAGGGGAACACAATTCAACCGCAACACCTAGAACACCACTGCCCCCTGGTCTAAAGCCTCCACCATTCCTCACTGGCATTATTGAATTCTCCTGACTGGCTCTCTACGGTCACATGTGCCCTCTATGACCTGTGTCGATTCCTTTGCTCGGAACTCCCCAGTGACATCCTACTCACTCAGAGTTAAAGCCAAAGCCCTTGCTTTGGTCCAAGGTCCCTCCTGACGGGCACTCATTCTCCTCTTCCTTCCTGTCTTTCTTTGCTGGAGGCACCCTGGTCTCTGTGCCAAACAGGACAAGGCAGGTTCCCCCTCCCGGCCTCGACTTGCTCTTCCTTTGCTCAGGATCCCTCTGCCAGGTATCCTCACGGCTCGTGCCTCATCAGCTGCCCAACTGCCACCTTCTCCGAGGCATTTCCTGACACTTTCATGACATCACGCCCTCGTGCCCACATCCCCACGGACTCTGTTCCTTGTCGCCATTTTATTTTTCTCCCAAACTCTCTCCACCTTCTAAGACACAATGCTATTTACTTATTTTTTTTATTTTTAAAATTTTTTTTCTCCACCACCACCATCCAAATGTGAACTCTGTGAGCACTGAACTTTTTGTCGGATTTGTTATTTGCTCTATCCTTAGCACCTAAAATAGGGCCAGGCCCGGAGTCGGTGCTCAGTAAATAGTTGAAGAATTAATGAGAAATAGGCCAGTGTATTTCCTTATGAATTATTAACCCATATGCCCTCATTAAATTTCACCTTATTTTCCAGAATGTTGTTGTCAATGTAAATAATGCTGCTAAAAATAGCTTATTCCACCTAGTTAATTTCCCCCTTTTTCCATTTTTTGGGTCATATTTCCAGAGGGAACACTGTCAAATGCCTTTCCAAATGTTTTTAACAATTTATAATGCTGCCTACCATTAATAACTCTGACTCTTGTTTTCATGCTGTCTTGCCACCATTGATTTTTTTTTAAAAAAAATATGTTTGTATTGATTTGAGAGAGAGAGGAAGGGAGAGGGAGAGAGAAACATGATGCAAGAACAAGTGATGCTCAACCAACCAAGCCTCGCCAGCCAGGGCACCACCATTGATTTTATCTTGCTTTTATTTTTGCAGCTTAATAGATGTAAGTGTGATAGTTTTGGTTTGCATTTACCTTTTAAATACAATGTTGTTGTTTGTTTGTTTTTTTTATCCTCACCCGAGGACATTTTTCCATTTTTTTGTTCAGATAGAGTGGGAGGGAGAGAGAGGAAGAGAGAGAGAGAGAAACATCAACGTGAAAGGGACACATCAAGTGGCTGCCACCCACTCGACCAACCAGGGCCGGGGACAAACTGCAACCGAGGTATATGCCCTTAGTGGAAACCAAACCCGGGTCTTTCTGGACCGCAGGCTGAGGCTCTAACCGCTGAGCCAAACCGGCCAGGGCTAAATACAATGTTTTATATGTTCTTTAGTGTATCTTCTGATGTAAATGGCCTGATCTAGTCTCCTGGTTTTTTATGTTTGAGGGAGGGAGGCCGTGGTTTCATATTTATGTATTCATACTGTTTGTTTGGCAACAATATGAATCCCTATTTGTATTTACTGTAAATGTGCTTCCATCCCACCATCCCTTTACCTCCGTTTGTGCTTCTACTTAAACTCCGTACTTTACCCTTTACAGCTGTGGACTACTGTGCTTCAGAGAACCACGGGTGTGAACATGAGTGTGTCAATGCGGATGGCTCCTACTCCTGCCGGTGCCCTAAAGGATTTTCCCTTAACCCAGATAAAAAAACATGCACAAGTAAGTTACAAACAACAACCAAAAAAAATGTTTTTGGATGGTATTGCTCTGGGCACTGTGGCCATGGACATCTTCCAAGCGTAGAGAAGCATAGGGTTATGTGCTGAGGTGTCTAATACCTTCTGTCTCTATTCCTCCTTTGCAAGCCTCTTAACTTGTCTGGAGACAGTATGTAGCCCACTCTGTCTCAGTGCCACCCTTCAAGGCATTTAATGAAGGTGTCTTTTATCAGAGACCACGTGTGGGAGTGTGCGTCCAGCATCTGCTGAGCGTGCTGACAATCAGACTCTCACTTCGTGCTGACTCAGCCTGGCTGTGCCCATCAGCGTTAATGGGGCTTAGGAAAGACTTTCATTGAAGCTTTGTGGCTTGCGGGCTTCAACTCTGAATCCACAGGAGTGCAGGAAAATTGCTGAGCCAAAGGGGTTGAATGTGGTTGTTCTGGGGTGGGGGAGGGTGGCTTGCAGAGAATCGCTCATTCTTTGTTTTAGCTTTGTAGTTCTATTTGATTGGAACTATACACACACACATTAGAATTAATTTGAGCCTCCAAGATCTAACCATAAAAATCTATAAACTAAAGGTGATCACAGAAGAATTCCAAAAGCGTTCTTTTATTTATTTATTTTATTGTTGAGTGTATTACAAATCTCCCCCGTTTTTATTTCCCCTTGACCCCCACTACCCAGTACCCACCCCACTCAGTACCCACCCAACCTCAGGCCTTCACCACTCTATTGTCTCTGTCCATGGGCAGTGCGTATGTGCATATAAGTTCTTTGGTTTATCTGTTCCTGCCCCCTCCCCCCACCTCTTCCTTCTGAGGTTTGTCAGTCAGTTCCCTACTTCCATGTCTCTGGATCAATTTTATTCGTCAGCTTATTTTGTTCATTAGATTCCACAGATAAATGAGATCATGTGATACTTGTCTGTCTCTGACTGGCTTATTTCCCCTAGCATAATACTCTCCAGGTCCCTCCATGCTGTCTCAAAGGGTAAGGGATCTTTCTTTCTTACAGCTGCATAGTATTCCATTGTGTAAATGTACCACAGCTTTTTTATCCACTCATCTACTGATGGACACTTGGATTGTTTCCAGAACTTAACTATTGTAAATAGCGCTGCTATGAATATAGGAGTGCATATATTCTTTCTGATTGGTATTTCTGCATTCTTAGAATATATTCCAGAAGTTCCACTGCTGTTTTCCACAGCGGCTGTCCCCGTCTGCATTCCCACCAGCAGTGTACTAGGGTTCCTTTTTCTCTTTTCTCTACATCCTCGCCAGCACTTGTTGTTTGTAGATTTATTGATGGTAGCCATTCTGGCAGGTGTGAGGTGATACCTCATTGTCATTTTAATTTGCATCTCTCTGATGATTAGTGACTTTGAGCACTTTTTCATGTCTTTTGGCCATTTGTATGTCCTCTTTGGAGTAGTGTCTATTCAGGTCCTCTGCCCATTTTTTTTTTGGTTAATATTTACCCAAAGATATATTTTCCATTGATTTTTAGAGACAGTGGAAGGGAGGGAGGGGGAGAGAGAGAAACATCAATGTGAGAGAGACACATCAACTGGTTGCTTCCCGCATGTTCCCTGACTAGGGCCGGGTATGAAACCTGCAACCCAGGTATGTGGTCTTGACTTGGAATTGAACCCATGACCCTTTGGTACATGGACTGGCACTCTAACCACTGAGCAACACTAGCCAGGGTCTCTGCCCATTTTTAATGGGATTGTTTGTCTACCTTTTGTTAAGTTGTATAAGTACTTTATATATTTGGGAATTAACCCCTTATTAGAGGTATCATTAGCAAATATATTCTCCCATACAGTAGGTTCCCTTTTCATTTTGATGCTGGTTCTTTTGCTGTGCAGAGCTTTTTAGTTTGATGTAGTCTCATTTGTTTATTTTTCCCTTTGTTTCTCTTGCCCTAGGAGGTATTATCGGTGAAAATTCTGCTATGTGAGATGTCTGATATTTTGCTGCTTATATTTTCTTCTAGGATTTTTATGATTTCACTTCTTACATTTAAGTCTTTTATCCATTTTGAGTTTATTCTTTTTTTTTTTTCCCCTACACAATCTTGTTTATTATTATTATTGGTATTTTTTTCTTTTTTTTTTAAATTTTATTTTTGTTACAGATGTTTCTCCTTTTTTACCCCATTGACATCCTCCTTCCCTTCCCTCCTCCCCGTCCCCAGCTTTGTTGTCCATGTCCATTGGTTATGCATATAAGTTCTGTGGTTTATCTCTTCCCTTTTCCCCTTCCCCCCTTCTTCTGGGAATTGTCAGTCTGTACCCTACTTCCATGTTTCTGGGTCTACCCTATTCCTCAGACTATGTTCATTATATCAATAAGTGAGATCATGTGGTATTTGTCTTTCTCTGCTTGGCTTGTTTCACTTAGGATAATACTTTCCAGGTCCCTCCATGTCGTCTCAAAGGATAAGAGATCTTTCTTTCTTACAGCTGCATAGTACTCCATTGTGTTTATGTACCACTGCTTTTTTATCCATTCGTCTACTGGTGGACACTTGGCTGTTTCCAGATTTTAGCTATTGTAAATAGTGCTGCTATGAACATGGGGGTACATATATTCTTTCGGATTGGTGTTTCAGGCTTCTTAGGGTATATTCCTAGAAGTGGGATCACTGGGTCAAATGGCAGTTCAATTTTTAATTTTTTGAGGTAACACCATATTGTTTTCCATAGTGGCTGCACCAGTCTGCATTCCCACCAGCAGTGTGCTAGAGTCCCCTTTTCTCCACACCCTCGCCAACACTTGTTGTTTGATGATTTGTTGATGGCAGCCATTCTGACAGGTGTGAGGTGATACCTTATTGTTGTTTTAATTTGCATCTCTCTGATGATTAGTGATGTTGAGCATTTCTTCATATGTCTCTTAGCCATTTGTACGTCCTGTTTGGAGAGGTGTCTATTCAGCTCCTCTGCCCATTTTTTAATTGGTTTCTTTGTCTTCCTTTTGTTGAGTTGTATGAGTACTCTATATATTTTGGAAATTAACCCCTTATCTGATGTATCATTGGCAATGATGTTCTCCCATACAGTGGGTTGCTTTCCACTTTGATGGTTGTTTCTTTTGATGTGCAGAAGCTTTTTAGTTTGATATAGTCCAATAATTTGAGGAGAATGGGTGTTTTTTGAATGTTCGGTAAAACTCCCCCGTGAAGCCATCTGGGCCTGGGCTTTTGTTTGCTGGAAGAGTCTTGATTACCTCTTCAATTTCCTTAGTTGTTATTGGTCTGTTCAAGTTTTCTATCTCTTCCCGGTCCAGAGAAGAGAGACTGTGTGTTTCTAGAAATTTGTTCATTTTACTTAGATTGTCGAATTTGTTGCCATATAATTGTTCATAGTAGCTGTTAACGATCTTTTGTATTTCTGTAGTGTCGGTTGTTACTTCTCTTTCATTTCTGATTTTGTGTATTTGGGTTCTCTCTCTTTGTTTCTTGGTGAGTCTAGCTAAGGGTCCATCCATCTTGTTTATCTTTTCGAAAAACCAGCTCTTTGTTTCATTGATCCTTTGAATTGTTTTTTTGGTCTCTATGTTATTTATTTCTGCTCTGATCTTTACTATTTCCTTCCTTCTACTTTCTCTGCGGTTTTCTTTTTGTTTGCTTTCTAATTATTTAGGTCGTGAGGTTAGACAATCAATTAGAAATTTTTCTTGTTTCTTGAGGTAGTCCTGTAGTGCTATGAACTTCCCTCTCAGAACTGCTTTCGCTGCATCCCATAGATTTTGTGTTGTTGTGTGTCCATTTTCATTGATTTCCAGGAATTTTTTAATTTCTTCCTTGATCTGCATGGTAACCCAGTCATTGTTCAATAACATGCTATTTAGCCTCCATGTGTTCAAATGTCTTTGCATATTTTTCTTGCAATTAATTTCTAGTTTCATGCCATTGTGATCTGAGAAGATGCTTGATATGATTTCAATCTTCTTGAACTTATAGAGATTTAATTTGTGTCCTATCATGTGGTCTATTTTTGAGACTGTCCCATGTGCACTTGAGAAGAATGTGAATTCTGCAGTTTTGGGGTGTAATTCTCTGTAGATATCTATTAAATCCATTTGATCTATTTGCTTCATTTAGAGTGTCTGTTTCCTTGCTAATTTTTTGTCTGGAGGATCTATCCAGTGATGTCAGCGGGGTGTTGAAGTCCCCTGCTATGATTGTATTGCTGCTGATTTCTCCTTTGAAGTCCTCCAGAAGATTTTCAATATATTTTGGTGCTCCTATATTGGGTGCATATATGTTTATCAAGGTTATATCTTCCTGTTGGATAGATCCTTTCACTATTATGTAGTGGTTTTCTTTGTCTCTAGTTATGGCTTTCATTTTGAAATCTATTTTATCATATATGAGTATTGCTACTCCAGCTTTTTTTTTCTTTCCGTTTGCTTGGAAGATTTTTTTCCATCCCTTCACTTCCAACCTATGTGAGTCTTTTGTTGTGAGGTGGGTCTCTTGTAAACAACATATAGATGAGTCATGCTTTCTTATCCAATCAGCTACTTTGTGTCTTTTGATTGGAGCATTCAGTCCATTTACTTTTAAGGTGATTATTGATATGTACTTATTTATGGCCATTTTTGTTTAGTTTGGTTATATTTGTTTTTCTATTTTATTTTCTTAATTATAGCAGTCCTTTTAACATTTCTTGCAGTGCTGCTTTGGTGCTAACATATATCCTTAGGCTTTTTTTTTTGTCTGGGAAGCTCTTTATTTGACCTTCTGTTTTGAATGACAGCCTTGCTGGTTAGAGTAATATTGGATTCAGATCCTTGTTTTTCATGACCTTGATTACTTCATGCCATTCCCTTCTGGCCTATAGTGTTTCTGTTGATAAGTCAGCTGAGAGCTTTATGGGGGTTCCTTTGTAGGTAACCTGTTGCTTATCTCTTGCTGCTTTTAGGATTCTCTCTTTGTCTTTAATTTTTGGCATTTTAATTACTATGTGTCTTGGTGTGGGCC